TGTATACAGACCGTAGGTTTTATTTCAGAATTATTAAAAGCGTATGGAGAAAGCCATTGTACCCTGTGTATTGGTCAAGACCGTTAAGTGTATTTAGGAAGAACTGACGACGTTGTTCAGTGTTCAGGATCCAATACTCTTTATGTTCAAAAACACCTTTGTGCTTGTGATTTGGATTTCTTCTGACTACTTTCGACATGCAGGTAAAAAATACAGTCTAGGAACAGCTTTGTGCTTGTGACTTGGGTTTCTTCTGACGACTTTCGATATTCAGGGCGTAAATACAAGCTGTCTACGATTTCAGGACGTAAGGCTTGCTTTCCAGCCACTTAGTGCCTGATGTATGCAGAGACTGTGAAATTAATTTGTTAAGAGAGCAAGAGTATCTGAGACAGAATGGATGATCTGTCGTACAAGCTCCAAGTGTTTCACACTGTTAACGAGTTTAAAGCTCATCGTTTGAACAGGACGGAACAGTGCAGACTCGAATCTGCTCGGAGCCTGATTCTTAGGGAGAAGACTCTCTTTGAGAAAGACTTTCAGCTTCGAGTTCAGAAGCTGAAAGCTCGACAGCAAGAGATGAAGAGGGAGGTGGATAGTGGCAGCGATGACGAGAGGAAGATCAAAACTCTGCCTGAGTCATCAGAATCTTCATCATTTCGAGTCTGTAAATCTGCACGCCTACCCAAGAGTGACGAATGTTTTCTATGTGACCAGATTTCCAAGATAGTTCTGAAGTACGAAGCAGATAAACATGGAAAGATAAACACAGCAAGTGTTTCCAAGTCAACGAATCCGAGCCAATCTGACAGCTATGTCAGACAGTTTCTGGAGTCTATAGAAACAACGGTGATGCCCTTGAAGCCTGACTATGCCGCTGGGAGTTCTGGGAGTTTTATCGATGTTGGAAGACTTAATGTAGACGTACACACTAGAGGTTGTAAAGATAGGAAGCTAAGTATTAAGGTTGATAAAGAGACAGAAGTAAACCCGTCATTGAAGAGGCTGATCAGAGAATCCACCCAGATGCTTCCACCAGATAACAAGGGTCACGTGTGTACGACCTTGACCTCAGCGAAACGTCGACGAACGTTTCCCGCAAAGATTGAAATTCAAAGGAAGGTGGGTGAATTTGTACAATCACAGGAAGTTTACAATAGAGCGAATCCTGTTAGTGAAGACATCATGGTCCAGTGCGAGGCATTTCGTCTCCATAGCGGCAATAGAGTGGCCCGAACCCCACAACAGTTTGTCAGCAGACGGGAAGCCATGATATCTGAAGTATTAGAGAAGTTGGGACTGACAAGAGCAAACTGACTATCACATTTCTCCTTCTTTTCCACGTAAAATTCGAACGCAGAATTACGGGTGAAAAGTCACATACGTTTGTAGATCTGTGTTCAAATTAGATGTGGACAGTTTTCCATGTAACTGTAATTGTTTCTAACTAATGATGGGTGTATCAATTAAGGTTTGGTGTAAAACAATTTACATGTTCTGAACGCTCAATGCTTAATATATGCAATGGACATGTTCCATACACACGACCCGTGAAGATGCGGGTTAGAATTGATCTTCAGTAACCGATGCTAATCGTAAGAGGCGACTAACGGGATCGGATGGTCATGCTCGCTGACTTAGTTGACATATGTCATCGTATCTCAATTGCTTAGATCGATGCTCATGCTGTTGATCACCGGATTGTCTGTTCCAGACTCGATTATTTACAAACTGCCACCACATAGCTGGAATATTGCTGACTACGGCGTACAACTAAACTCACTCACCCACTCACTCCATACCTTAAGACAGTATGTTGTGAATATGTCCTTTGATTTAGTAAAATATGTTCTCTGTTAGCGAGGCAGTGAAAGAGTTTGACTAATCTAAAATATTGAAGTTACATTTTGCGTGTCTGTAAAGTTGATACATAGCATTTAATAAAATAAAAAGACTGATTTTTAACAGAATACTGTGATTCATAGTTTTCTATTATTACAGACCGCCTCCGTGGTGTAGTGGTTAGAGCGTCCGCCCGGAGAGCGGAAGGTCGCGGGTTCGATCCCCGACCGCGTCATACCAAAAAGACGTTAAAATATGGTTCTTGTTGGTCCCTGTCTGGCGCTCGGCATTAATGGGTACAACAAGGACTGGTCGGCTCGGAGTCAGTATAATGTGTCTGAGTGGGGTATTCATGCTTCACTGCGGCATGGTATCTCAGTGGGCTAGCACTATAAAACCAGCTTCAGTCTGGGCTAGTACAAGCAGCCGCACATACACATAAACACACATGCACGTCGTCATATGAGCGAAATATTTTCAAGCACGACGTTAAACCCAATTTCACCTCATCTCACCTCACCTCACCTATTATTACATTTTTTGTTCGGAATGACAAGATCACAGAAATATTTATTTTCAACTACTTTCTTCTTTTCCAAGACGAACTATGATATAATGTATGCCTTAATGTTCGTAACATTCATAACATCCTCCCGCATTTATCGTCTACCATCCCATTCATTGGCCACAGCTTCATTTGTCTCTGATTAGAACGGTTATTCCAGACCCGCCGTAAATGAGTCTTTACTCCCAGGATCAACCTGTCAGGAGGAGTAGCCAGGTAGCTCTTCACGTGAACGACGAGGCACTAAGCAGCCCATGTTTGGTGTCCCCGTCGTTCCTACTTTGCTGGAATATTGCTGAAGATGGCGAAACACCACAGACAAGTTGGTGGAGTAGCCTACTGGCCAGGCACATTGAAGAAGTGGGATTAAACAGATTGGCTGTGTCCCCGTCGCGATACGCACCGTTTAAGCTCTTCAACCAGGCAATATGGTTTGATGTCACGGATTGGAAAATTTATTCAGTAATTTGCTTCCGTGTCAGCTTAATTTGGGAGGCTGTGCTTAAGATACTTCTGCCACCCTGATGATGCCAAAGAAGGATGACAGAAACAGAAGGAAACATAGACAATAATCATGTAGACGAATCTGTGGTTTGAAACATGTGATTCTGTGATCGGGGTTTAGTTAGGATAAAATACGGTTACTTATGATTTCTTCACAGTGTATTACAATTACAGCTCCCTAGATCAAAGGGACAGTTTTCAATACAATGAGTAACTGACTGACATGGTTTAAACTCCTCTTTGAGTTCCAGCGATGTCATGAAGTGTTAGCTTGATGAGACAGGATGAAGGTTTCAGATCTTTACCACCATCATGGCGGTGGCACCGAAGGAGCACGGTAGAACCATCTTATTAGAACTATGAGTAATGATTGGTATGTACAGCCGCGGTGACATATATCCTGGCTAAATCATGCACATAACAGAGTTTGACCAAAAGTACGACCACATGATGTTCCAAAAGTCAATGTATATAATAACAAATATACAAATCTTACACTTATGTTAACGCTATAGCACAAACGATCCGAGGGAGGTGCTGATATGAGTTTTTGTGTGCATATATCAATTGTTTGTTTGTTGTTTAACGCCGCACTCAGCAATATTCCAGCTATATGGTGGCGGTCTGTAAAGTATCGATCTGGACCTGAGAATCCAGTGATCAACAGCGATTAATTGGGGTACGATGTGATACATGTGTCAACCAAGTCAGCGAGCCAGACCACCCGAACTGTTTCGTCGCCTCTTACGACAGGCATGGGTTACTGAAGACCAATTCTTACCCAAATACCCGTGAAGGTCCGGGTTAGAATGAGCCTTCAGTAACCCATGCTTGTCGTAAGAGTTGACTAACGGGATCGGGTGGTCAGGCTCGCTGGCTTGGTTGACACATGTCATCGGTTCCCAATTGCGCAGATCGATGCTCATGCTGTTGATCACTGGATTGTCTGGTCCAGACTCGATTATTTACAGACCGCCGCCATATAGCTGGAATATTGCTGAGTGTGGTGTAAAACTGAACTCACTCACTCTTACCAAAATTGTCATGGAAAAATCAATTGTAAAGGTTCCTGTCAAGTCAGTCTGTCGAAACAAAGCCAAAATGAAATGAAGCCAAACAAACACCAACCAAGCATATCAATTCGAACCGGGCTTTTCAACATGATGAATAAAAAAATTAGCCTTTCGGCTATCAGGCCATGTTTGAAATGTAAATACAGACACAGTCTCTGTGTTGTCTGATTTTTATATTGCTGCTTTTCTTTGATAAGATAAGAACAAATTAAGGGCTTTACTCCGTATTTTCTCCCAATAATTGTGCACACAGTTCATTGTAATGAACATTGAGTGAATGTTGTTTTATGCAACAGGCAGTGTTCAAGGTACATCATAGCAGACTGGATAGTGGATAGGAAACTATAAAAATAAAATTAGACATTTTAAATAGATTTTAAAAGTGCTTTAAACGTATGCTCAATTTACAACGAACATATGCCTTATCTTTTGTGAAATGACTGAGTGGCGAAAGGTTATCACCAAGACATTTGCAAACTGTTCGTGAGCTAGCTTCTGATTCAAATTGGCGATTCATGTCTTTAACCTTGCCCATTCGCAAACTTGAAAAACTTGACTTTGTACATTTGTGTGATACACCTGCTATTGGCAAAGTGTTTGAACATAATTTGTCTCCCTTGTCTGTGTAAACGATTAAGCCGTCGAAATGCGTTGTGCGAAATTACGTCCCTCTGAAGTGCCAGTATCGTAAGATCGTAGTTTTGAATTTTGAACTCGGTCTTTGTTGGTCAGCGTTATATCCGTGCTAGTTAGTTCACCAAGGGGTAAACGAACGGATATAAACATCACCTCTTCCTAAGTGACGCTGATACAAGGAAACCAACTACAACTAATGTATTATATGTAAGACACAATTCGCTCAGACATTCTTGCTACACAGTAACACTGTCACAGTTCCACGCTCAGCAACTGAAGTGAAAATGTGAAAATACACATGCAAATCGCAAATCTCTTCTTTACAAGAATTTGTGTGTTGTCGTTTATGTTGCATTGTAAATGAATATATTTCTTTTTGACTTCATTTAATCTACGATAACTGATTTTATATTTAGAATGTAGGTCAGGTAGCACAGCTTAAAAAGATCGTAGATAAATTTCCACTTGCTCTGTTCTCAACAGTGATCGAGGACTAAAGAAGTATGGCATTTTTGATGAATATCCTTAAGTTGGTTTGCATTTTATATTCCTGTAATCAGCTATGCGAAGGTAAGTATGTAGTTGGGGTGCCATTGCTTTTAGATGTTCGACCAACATAGTGTACAATATAAATTATACAATCTATAATTGTTCATTTTATAACTGAAACTTGTTTGAGTGGCATTTTAGAAGCAGGGACGTACAATATTGAACACACTTTATGGATGACAACTTCTTTATTGTGTGAGTGCGACGTTTCCATACAGATTCTTGTACCGTTGTCAAGCGGTGTCAATGACAACGGTACATTCCTGCTTGACAACGGTACAAGAATATGTATGGAAACGTCGCACTCACGAAATAACAACGTTGTCATCAATAAAGTTTGTTCAATATTATCATTGAAACTACTTGATTATTATTCCCTAAGAGAGTGCTTGAATCTCAGTACGCGTCGTTGTAAATTGTTGATTTAAGGAACGCATTAATCAAGAACACGTGATAGAAGTATCAACTCAACCCGAATTGCGTCGAATTGCTGGCGACAATAAACAGCTTTGAATATCCATATCCGACAATGACGTCATGTTTTGGGGATATGACTTTATGATATTGACGAGCTGTCCACGTATGCTTGTTGACGAAGAAGCTACATGTGAGTGCCACTCCTTCAGAGCTTGCCATGTATTCAGATACAGAAATATGACGTGCAGTACAAAGATGTTTTAACTTTTAAACAAATGCAAATTTATGCAGTTACACCTACACTATGTACCCAGGTTCTGTGAGGACACGCACGGTCTATTTATCGTCAAAAGAATTTCACATAAGCGATATATTCGATGAAATAGAGAAGAGATGTCTAAAATATTGACGCTAACGAATGGCGTTTTACATTACGGAGACAGGTTCATTTTTGTTGCATTACAGCTCTCAAAGATACAAAAGGAAGTGCATTTTCTCTCGCTTTCTTTCCTGAATTCACCGATGCTCCAACAAATGACCTTCGAAACATTCTGTACTTCTCATCCCCACTTGGAGGTGCTTGTACTGTGAACTACAATGACGGCACAAGACGTCAGACTAGTGTGAATATTGTCGCCAACGATGTAGTTAAACTGGCGCTATCTGACGCCACACAACTACCAGCTGGAACAAGAATAGAACCAAAGGCCATTTATGTGAACTGCACAGCAGCAATTGCTCTTTATGGACACAATAAGTACAGGAGCGGTGTGGATACATCAGACACATTCACAGTTCTTCCTGATGATACGTTGTCCACGGATTATTTTGTTGCAAGTGTCCAGAAGACTGCAAATCTTGGCGTTGTGGCCACTCAAGACAACACTGACGTTTCCGTGGCTCTTAACGCAACATGTCAATATGTGTTGAACAGTGTCCGATACACAGATGGAGACACTGTTAATGTCACACTGGGCTATGGAGACGTGTTTCAGATAGGTTTGGTATCGTCTGTAAGCTCTGATAAGTGTGACTTAGGGGGAACCCGAATCCATTCTAATCATCAAGTCGCAGTGTTTTCGGGGGCTTTGTTTCTTGAGTCCCCTTCCATTAATGCATATCTTTCTGCACAACATCTGGTTAGTCAAGTTCCCCCAGAAAGCGCATTCACAAAAACTCAAATTATTCCCAAAGTTGGAGACAAGTGACCTTGGGGGAATGACGTTTCGCGTATTGGCAAAGTACGACAATACAATCGTGAATGTAACGAAGGAAGAAGTAAATGGGAATATAATTACATGGTCTATGTCACTGAATACCGCCGAGTTTAAAGAATTCAATTCCCAGACGAGTGCCACCTTCATCATACAAAGCACTCGACCAGTAATGTGTACCGAGGTTATTTACTTTAAAAGTGATGGAGGCACATCGTTGTTTGTGCCAGGAACGGTTCTTTATGACAACAACTACATTGTAAAGAGTTTAGATTTGGACGGGGTGAACACAGAGAGTCCAAGGATTACTATTGTATCTGAGGTGTCATCATTCATGGATGTTCGTATAAATGGTCAACATCGTCATGATATCCAGTGGACCAATCTCACAACGGTACCTTACACTGTCGGGACACTACAGATACACCCTCAAAAACCATATGCTGTCAACAGTTCATCGCCAATTCTAGTCAGACTTCACGAAGCATTTGGCCGGGAGTCATACAGCTACAATGCAGGATACCGTCTTCCGTCACTGGCAGAAACATGTAAGTACCTGTACACGTAGAGTAATTAAGAAAGTCTGGGGGGATTGTACTGCACACTAAGGATGTTGAGGAAAACACTGTCGATCATGTTGTTTAGAAAGACCAGATTTTGCAACTAACAGCCGGGTGTTTTGAACTGTTTTCAGCATTGAAATTAAATGTCTGCTCAATGGATTCGAGGCCTTCCAAACGTCACATAAGTATCTGAAATGGATCAGTGTCATCCAAAGGTCAGGCGCTGGTTACAAGTCAAGGAAATAATAAGAAGAGTGCATGAAAGTACTATTTATCTGATATCAAAGAACTGTTTAAGAAAGGATTAATCTCTAAAGTTCTGTGCAATTATAGTAAAAGTATATAATCTATCGGCTCATACCTTTTGCTTTCATAGAAGTTGAAAGTAACGCATGAACCGGTTATTCTGGAGAACACTTGTTTCAGTGTTTGGTGCTGTCACCCTCAAATGCCTACCAGGAGGGTGGTTTGTTACAGTGGACTTCATAGACTCAAACCTCGACATCAGTCTCCTCCCCTACATCTACATGACCAAGGACACGTGTGTTGGAACGATACAGGGACAGCATCTCATATTCAACATGTCGTACAACGACTGCCACACACAATCAAGTGTATGTATCAAAATATATATTTGCTACACCTAAACGTAGGTAACTAAGATGGAATTACTGATATGATGGCGCTACTGTTTCAACAAGGCTTAAACTTTCATCAACATTACAACAGTTAAACCTCGATTGTACTTTTATCCAAATACCAAGAACTCGCCATCCGAAGTTGTTACCTTTACCGTGAGTTCCATTGTTAGGATGAGGCTATACGCGGCCATACCCTCTGACCCTGTTCTGTATTTGTATGTTACTGAGAAAGATAAAAAGCGACCTCATTTCAAAATCAGGCACGCATGGTGACAATTGCTGTACCTTAGATGCCAGTTTGACACGTGTTGCAATCTTAGGCACCACGTAGGAAAATGAAATCATTCCAAAAACGGGCTGTTTCACGTAGGCTGGCTGTTTCGAACAGAACATGCATATTTGCCACTGGTAGCACACAATTCGACGTATTATCTTTCATAGTATTGATCCTCAGCAAGCTTTTAGTTGTCTCGTTGTCGATTCTAATTCCTCTTATATTCCAATGTGGCGACACGCCTCCGTCAAACACTTCTGTCATAAGTGGCGACAATCATCTTCATGGGCAGCTGAATCGTGCTCAGGAAATGATCCAAAGATGACTGATGGTGACACCGAGAAAGAATATGTATTTGCAAGAAAAAGTTCGAACGCACTTGGAGACATGCACGCAAACGTTGGACATCAGTCATTTATATTGGCTCTTCGGTCGCAAACATTGAAAGCTTATATGCAACCATGACATTAGACATATCTGCACGTAAAATATAAGACCACTATTGAAACATTTATATCAGAATGTTTGTGATGGAGTAATGTGTTGACACACTTTTGAACACTTTTGTGGTGGACAGTTAAATCCTCTTCTACGAGTGACGTTTCCCTTCTCGCCTGTCGTATTGCAAAATACATGTCTGTATGCGTCCAGAGACCCGTTTTTTATGAACAACGTATGGCTACAACGTATGGCTACAAGTGTATGTTAAGCTATTGGGATTTTGGCAGTCGTTGTGTTTGTAAAATGAGACCCAGCTATTCTGATGTGTCATCATTCAAATGTGTATTGGAAAATGTGGAAAGTCCTCTTCATTGTTGAGTCGTGTTTCCTTCTTCGCCTCTCGTATGAAAAGACACATGTCTTAGAGCACTCTTTCATGGTCATATCGTTACCATTGCTTTGTGAAATGGAAGCCAGGTCCTCTTATGTGTCACCATTTAAATGTGTATTTGGAAATGGAACAATGTTCGCATTTCCCTTATTTCTACATTATTCAGGTCTCCAAAGGCATGGTTACCTTTAAGAACAGGTTGATGTATGTACAACCAGTAACTGATCATTTGGTTCGAGATGCCATCTGGATTCATGATGTCAGCTGCTCCGAACCAGTGGATGGGACGGACTCCGTTCACATGTACCCATACTTCAACACAACTGACTCAACATCTGGACAGGTGCAAGGTTCCAGCGTCCATATATCCCTGTACCAAGACGCATCATATATGCACCTTTTGAAAGGCAATCTGATTCAGGCTGAGGTTGGAGCACCTGTGTATGTTCAAGTTGCCTCGACAGGGACTTCCAATACAATAATGGTGTTACGATCATGTGACGCCCACCTTGACAGTGTTCCGGGTAAACAAGCAACTTATCCTCTCATTGCAGATGGGTGAGTGAGATGACATATAATCTGAAGGAAAGGATTTTGTTATGTGTCCTTCTTTACATGTCTATTACAGTGTTTTTCTAAAATTAAAGAATTAATCTCCATCTTCCGTACACAAGTTCACATTGTATATGCACGTGTACGTTTCTTGTTTACTTCCACCCTCCGCAATATTACATATTTTAATGTTGCCTATAACTAAATCTGAACAAGCAATTTATCCTGAGGTCCAATTCCGTCGGCGCCGATGATACGTAATCAATTGAATGATTCCGATCCATGTAAATAGTTCGCACAACAAGCAGATGTTGTTGGGGCCTACTCGTACCAGGAATTTCAAATGGGGCACAGATGGATAGTCATAGATGATATGGAATAGACTTACATTTTATACACCACTCATTGCTTGTGCCAGACACATATTAATGGTCCAAATTATACAATGTAAAGCCATATCTACCCATTTACGTACGTTAATGAAGTACGAAAACATGAATCCAGTAATCATAAGAAATATGTAGGTTGATTTGATTCCCCATGTCAGTAAACATTGGGTAAATTCTGATTGTATTTCCAGGTGTGCTGTGGATGTTCGTACTCAGATCCTCGTGACGCGAAACTCCGTGACCAGGTTTAAGTTTGACATGTTTGACATCCCTAATGAACAGGACGGCATCTACGTCACTTGTCACGTGACATTCTGTGACCAGATGGACTTCTCCAACAAGTGTCAACAGCAGTGTCACTCAAGTTCAAACATAATTGGTTGATGTCTGTAATGCAAACCATAAACCTTTATCGTTCGTGGAACGGATTTGAAATATATCTTGTTCTTTAATAAAATATCACTCACTAGTTGTCTGACATTTTACAATATGAAAGCACAAGAAGGTGTAAGCTCAACAACTTAACAAATTGGTGATACTATCACGATCTATACACGTACGTTCATGTGAACTAATGCTTTACCATTTAAGTTGGCATTATATGTTTTAACTGTTCACTCTCTTTAGACTTGCATGAGTCTGTCCGTAACTTTACCCGCCTGCCCTGAAATAAGAAAACGTTTTTTACATCATTTGTCCCCGCAGTTGTGGAAGGTTATCCTCGAATTTAATAAAACAAATGCTCGAACTGTTGCACTTTCATTAAGACTCCAGGTCAGTTTGAGATTTCATCATATACATTTATTTAAAGCAAGCAGCTCGATCTGCAACATATATCAAATTTGTGGATTGTAATTTAAATATTCAATCAACAATTTGCACAATTAATGAAATTATTTGAATTATATATATTCATTCCGTCCAACTGTTGTCTTGCGGTTTGAATTTGGAGATGAGAAACAAATAAAAATGCGAATGGCCGACTAGAAGAAAGGCTCACAATAACTGAGTGCGTTTGATGGGCCAAGGAGGAGTATTTAAAGGTTTGCCATCAATGTTTTTGTGATGACAGAATCGCAGAGGTGTTATACTGCCATATAATGACCATGAAAATAAGAGGATTTGCATAGCATACCATACTTGTTTGATGTGTAGAGATTGGGGGTCATCGCTGGCAATTTGGAAGGGTCCATGCAGGTAGCCAAAGTACTATAAGTCAACATGGTCTCTAGTATGGTGATATACTTTCAGGTGCTGGTGATCTATAGCCCGTTTTTATCTTGTATTGTCTTGCATTATAGCAGTTTTAGTTCCATGCTAGTTTTATATCTCTATCTGTGATACACAAGTAGTTTTACTGTTCATCGTTAACAGTTTTATGGCTTCTATTATTTTTTTATCTTTACTGATAATAAATTGTTCTCGACACGCTTTGGCTGAAATATTACCGATGTAACGATAAATATTAACTCACTCACTCACTTATAAGGCAAATAGGTTTTTGACACGATATGTGAATGCTGGACAGCGACTTATGTACAACTTGTTACAAAAGTAAGTAAGCATACCTTAAATAATGTACACAACTAACTGGGAAGCCTGTCATTGTGACACCAGAGGGGGTATTAGGTGGAAAATATCCATACCTTGTAATATAGCGTCAAATGGTGAGAGTGCGGAACATGGTTGACTATGTGTCATTGGAACTTGAAGGGTGTTCATACCTACAACCAGCTGTTACCTGGATCCAGGAGCTATTACTTTCAGTCTTCCTTGATATACCTTGACTAATGTATGTGACTT